GTCATTTCAGGAAATGTGGACTAAAATAAACTCAGTACTGACGCACACAACTACTTTTTGCATGAGCAGCATTAAATCTATCCCTTGGATAAATTAATCTGATATTGAATCAATTTGCCCAACCTCCACATACCTTTCTTTTTCAGATGATATTAGCCTAGGTGGGTAAAGCTGAAAAAGTTGTGCTTTAATGGATCACATTGGCACAGTGCATTAAAGACAAACCTTTTTTTTTTGGGAAGGAGAGGGGCAAGTCTAAGCCTTGTATTGTGATAGCATGAGAAGTAGGTGTCATCTTCTCTCCAGATGTACAATGAAAGTAGAGCTGCATATGTAAATAAAATTTTCAGCTTAGTTTGTACCAAAGAAGTGAAACACATTGAATTTCAATATATGTTTAGGATGAAAAGTTATTGCATGTAGGCCATTGCACAGCACGTTTTTGGGAGATTGCTGGGAGTAAAGGCAGATACTGCCTAAATGACAGTTTAGAAGAATTGTCAGGTTGAAACAAGTCATAATTTATAATAAATGAATTTGGCATGTATATTTCGTATGGCTTTAAAGCATTAGTGGAAGGAAATTATGTTCCCTATACAGGATTTCCCAGTCAGCTTAAATAGCCTTGCCTTTATTACAGACATAATAAATTTGCTGAATTGCAAATAATTTAACTTTCCACAGAAGGAAATTGTTCATCTGAGCTATTCTTTGTACTTAACACCTACCTGCCTCATTTTTTATAACAAAAAAAAAAGTGACTCAGTGGGAATTTACTTGCAGCTGGAAGGCAAAATTGAACATTTGTTTTTATCTCACATCTGGTTTGGTAAAATAACACCTTAAGGAAGCTCTTACCAAGACAATGAATAATTTTTTGAGTGTTACAACCAGTATTGGTAGCAAATAAATTTTAGTGTATGTGTGTCAGATAACATCTGGAGTAAAAACGGTTAAGAATCACATTTTGATGTCTCTGATTAAGGATTGTAGCTGTATTATTGGTTTCAGGAAGCATACAAGATCAGGTAAAGCATCAGAAGTTAGAAGATATTAGACTATTATTTTTCTGTTTCACTTTGTCATAAAAATTACTCAACATTTTATAAATTATTAATTTAGAGAAAACTACCCATTTAAAAAAAGCTCATTTTTAGGAAAACCTGGCCGTTCGGAATTAATTTTACACACACTTCCCATCAGCATTATTAAAATAGACTAGCTTTCTGTGAGTGAATTACTGTTCTGACTGGATTTAATATGCATTTGGTTTTTTTTTGCAAGTCATATGCAAGAAAAAGAATGATGATAATCAAGAATCAATTCTTGCTTGTCAACAGCTTCATCTTGTGATTGTCCATGTGGCAATATTGGATTGCAGATAATTAATAAGATTTTTTTTTTCATTTGACAAGGCCAACATTAAAAGAAGTATTATGTATAGTTGTTTTAAAAATTGCTGTTTCTTCATGCATACAACTTAAACAATATTGTCTGTAATTTGTGGCCAAAGCTGACTGCTGACGAATAAGAATGTAGGAAAATAATTTTAAAATAAAATTTATGATTGCCAAGTTTGGGAACAATCTTCACACATCAAAATGTACAAAGCACTCAATTATTTTCAAAATAAAGAAAAAAAAGTTAATTAGATTAAGTCCTTAATATTTTGTTGAAAATTCCTTTTCTTTTGAAACTCTTAGAAAACATACAAAAATACTTCTTAGTCTTAGATTATAAAAAAATCTCTTTTCCATATTATCTCTATTTTTGTAAAACTAATTCAAGTTTACCTTTGAAAACATGTCAGATATGCATCACCATAAAAGCAATTATTATTAATACTTGGAAGTAATTGTAGAAATTACATTTTTTAGCAGCAAGACTTTCATTAACTTTAAAAGTCTTTGACATGTTATCAGCATTGAAAGAAGTTGTATTCAATTCACATGAGTACAGAAACAGCTAGAGAAATAGCTTTATATAGCTGAAAAAAGACTGTGGCCTCAGACAGGTGTTGGTACAAACATGTTTTTTACAACCATGAAAATATCTCTCTGTGGTGCAAAACTTGCTTTCTATACTCTTGGACCACCATTTATCATGCAGCAACTCGCCCCCCTTCTTCTAGACATAGCTGTACAAGCTAAAAAGCTTTTGTTAAAGTTAATTGAGGTCTTTTCCTCAACTTACAGTGTCTTTGGACAAGATGCAAATTCCTCTTTTCCTGAATCAGCGTTGTATAAATTGTTTCTTCTCTACCTCTCCCCACACTCCCACCTGCCTTTGCTCAACTCTGCAGATAGTTTTGTGGTACAGAAGCGTTTCTATATTTGTGTGCTTTGGGGAAAAAAAAGATTGTTTGCATGCATGTAAAAGACTTTTTTAATGCACCTGAAACATAACATAATGGCAGTTCATCCAACTAAATTCTTCTTAGAGTACAAAAAACTGTTGTCTTAGAGTAACCATCATTATTTCTGTAACCACTTTTCCAAGAAATTACTCATATACTGTCCCTCCATTGGCAAGTGGATAATTTTTTCCCCACGTGTTTGGGGAAATAAAAGAAAAGAACAGGCAGTGTTAAATGGATTTACTTTGTAGTGGTGTCCCATAGGGCTGGCATGAACTATGATGGGATGTGCAGTCGCTTATTCTTGCATTACTTCTAAGGGAGAAGAAAGCTTCCAAATGTTAAGCTGACTGACTGAGTAATAGAAATTCTGGGATAGACAGCAGGGAATTTTAGTTTACGTTCTATCCTTCATAAAATAATGCAGAAGTCTTTGTTTTTTTCTAGTGGGGAGTGTTCCTCTTTCTCATGTATCTCTTTTTAACTGGTACTGGAGATGCTGTTTTTCTGTTGTGGGTTTAAATACATGCAGCATGATTAGTTTGGGGGTTTGTATCACATTTGTATCCCTGAAATACAGAAGGCATGCTCTGGCTTGGTAAGGAGATACTCTTTTAAGGTTGTAAGTGTGGAAGGAGATGGAGTGAAAGCTAATCCTCTAGCCAGTGACAAAAATGATGGAAGCAATGTTCTGAATCCATCTGAAATTAGGAAATATGTTTCCCCGAAGAAAAGCGGAGGCACCAGTGAGAAAAGTGCAGGCTAACATCTTGGCTGAAGCAGGCTGATGCAGTAAATGTGATCAGAGATCTTCTGGCAAGTTACCTGCCTTACCGACGTAACAGCATCAAGCCTAGGAGAGCAACTCTGTTAGAAAATAACATTTTTTACAAAAATGGGTGAAGCATTCAGTGTGGTTCAGGGAGTAGAAGTTTTCATTTACCTATGCTCTCTTACCTTTGATTTCATAATGTGGCTTCCACTCACACCCTGCATCAGAGGCAGTAATGAACGCACAGAAAAAACGGAACACGTGTCAGTCATTGCCCTAAATCCAATAAGCAGTCCTTGGGCTGGGTCCTGCAAATCCTTATTCCATACTGAGTTTAATAGGTGAGGTACTGCAGTGTCAAGCACACTACCAAAACACTCAGCATGTGTGTATGGCAGAAGTCTTCACAAAGGACTATGTTGTTAGACAGATAAAAGCCTTCCCAGTGCATACAGCACAAACTTGGAAAGAGAAGCAGCTTGGGATGCTGAGGGAAGTAGGAAGCGCCTTAGAAAACAGACACTCTGAGGAAAGCCTCAAAGAAGAGAAAATAAAGGAAAAATAAAATATACCACAATGTTCTAGGCTTAAAAGGTAATATGGATAAAGAGTATTTTAAAGGGGAGGATACAAGACAGGGAACTTGCCTGAGGGAGAGAGCCATCATTGTGTTGGAGATGGAAGGAGTACAGAAGCTCCTGGAAAGTTGCTCACCTCCTTTATGGAGACAAGACCATAAGCTAATGAAAAGATTTGAGAGGATAAGTAAAGTAATGTACACAGAAGCAACATTTATTTTCACTTCTGAAGGCAGAAGTTCTTACAGGCAGGATTATTTGAAATACAGTCAGCTTAGAGTAAAAGCTCAAAAGTTCAAACAGTCAGCAGTAAAAGTAATTATTATGCCATGTCTGGTTTAATATTGAGTAATAAAAGAGTGGCATATTTTATAAACATCTTCACACAAATACTTTTTCAGTCTTTACAGTAATGTCTATATCTGTTTAGGTATCCTGCTTGTTAAGAAGATGTATTTATTCACTTAGCTAATTTTCATAATAATTGAACAATTTTTGTCTTTAACAACTTGCGTATTTTTAACTTCAGGGTGTCTCACAGTCTATCTTGAGGCAAATTATGATAATTGCACTTATTGTAGGGCTATGTTGCTACAAGTTTTCAAAATGGTAGTAAAATATCTGCTAAAGGCTTGTGAGTGAACAGAAGATTCTCTCCCCTCACTCCTGCCCCACATCCAGTGGAAGCTAAGTGCTTTAGTCCAGGCCGGCTGACAATGTTTTCAGGAGAGGACATTGATAGGTCAATATAAGCATCAAATATTGGCCCTATCAAGAGATAAACAGATGCCAAATTTTTTGTGGAAAGTTTCTCATTCCTGTAGTGGCACAGCTTTTGAGAGTTACCTGACCCACAGGTGTGTAAAGAATGGGATTATAGGGGTCTCGAAATTCTGTAATAGACAAAGACATGGGGATCCGGGTTTTTGATCTGAGTTTGTAGTAATCGTTACAAATTACTACAAATCTACTATTAGTAAAGATATACAGACACTAGTATATACACACAAACACACACACACACACACACACACACACACACTACAAGCCAGTACAACATTGCCACTAGAAAAGGAAATATATATATTAAAACTTATTTCAGAATTCCAACTAGTGAAACAAGTGTATACTTATGAAACTTCACCTGTGTGCACCATAAATATACTATGTGGGGTGCTACCACCGTGACATTCAGCAAACCATTCCCAGCAGTGGGGCAAATCAGTAACAGAAGAGCCTCACTTCAAACCTGACCCATGCCATGAAATCCAGAATGAGCCAGGTCTCCCCAGCCAGGGGCCAGACTGTCCAGGAGATCTTGTGCAGAGAAGGTCATTTCAGGTAGGTAGCAGTTTACTTTCTGTCACTTTTGGTGTAACAGAGTGTAGAATGGTTCCCAGAATAATTGTTGCTGCCTCCTGTTTTCCTGAAAGGCCAGTTCCTTATCACTGTTTCCTTGTCCTGCACCCACCAAGGTTTCTGTCTTACACCTATAGAGGTTTCTTTGTCCTGCCAACTACTCCCTATCAAGAAGGTTTCAGCAGAGCTTATCAGGGATGTCTCAGGGCTCCCACCAAGGAGATGTCTTTGTCAGGATGTTTACCAGTCTATGTGCCAGTTCTGTCAGGATATGATACTTTGAGACAGAAGTAAAATCTGCAGTTCAGAAATAAAATGCAGTTCCTGTATTCAGGCAAGTTTTTTTACTGAATTAAAACATTTAATGTTAATTGCTGCTCTTTCTGACTTGCAAGTTTATGTGTAATAAGAAAACCTATCCTAGGCCTTCTGAAGCATCCATGCCCCTAGTGCCCTGTGTGCTTGAGAAAAGTGCTAATTGAATATCCACAAAAGATGCTCAGTACATGGCCCGTTCTGTACTAATTAATCTTTTACTTGCAATTCTTTGGTTTGGGGGTTTTTTTTGGCTTGCTTTTTTTTTTTTCTTTTTTTTTTCCTTTTTTTTTTCCTCTTCTTTTTTTTCTCCTTGTATAGGGTAATGCATTCACCTTTTCTAGGGAAGCATAATCACTCAACATTTAGGCTACCAGTGTAGTAGGAGTGCTTCAGAATGAGTGGTTGTGATGGTTCAGGATGCTTTCCCTTCTTCAAACATTTTTGAAGGGCTGGGTATTGGTTGTGGTAAAATGATGTTAATGGACTATAATTTAGTTGAACTCTTAGACCACCTTGGTCTCTATGCTGTGTTGGGTTTTATTTTTATTTTATTGAAGTGATGTTAAAAATCTAGAGGTTTATCTGGAGATAAATTTTGAGGTCTTAATCTAGTGTCTGATGCTGTGAATGAATGCTGTAAAGAATTAAATTCAAAAGGGCTGCAAATACTGCCTGAACAGCTTTATTTTGATTCTAGTCACTTTTCACCAAATAGTTGCAAGATTGTAGCTTTTTTGTCTTTTTTTTTTTTTTTTTTTTTTTTTTTTTTTTTTTTTTTTTTTTTTTTTTTTTTTTTTTTTTTTTTTTTTTTTTTTTTTTTTTTTTTTTTTTTTTTTTTTTTTTTTTTTTTTTTTT